GGGGGGGGCAATTATTTCACTTACAGCCACTGAAACACAGGCTGGAGCAGAGGGTGGTCTGTATCAACGACCAACAGTTACAAACGTTTTTAGATGGCGTGACTTTTAGAAGTAATACTCCAAATTGTTTGGCACCAGACTTTGAGACAATTACTGAGCGCTGCAATTTAGATTTACAATAGATACAGACCCCCACCCTTGGAGATTCTGTCTTGGTGAAAAATGCTATAACCAGGGATGAAAAAACAACAGAGTTGGAAAGATTCATAGATAACCAGGATATCAGGGTTAGCAGTGTGAACATATGCAGTGAGCTCAGCGAGTTTAAGGAGGAGGCAATGAATGTTAAAGTGCATTAGTCCTAGGCTTTTACGATTACACAAGTAATCCTAATCAGAAGTTAATGACTGAGCATCAACAAGCAAAGACTTGATTGCAGAGGTATCAGAACTTGAGCAATCAAATGGCTGTTCTCTGAAATCATCAGCAGGAGAAGGATGAGACATTTCTGACTATAAACAGTTTGATGGTGAGTCACTACCTTGTCAGTGTTCTTTAGGAGAAAGTGAGTTGTCCTGTAGAGCCACGTGCTGATTATACATGCCATGAAAAATGAACCAACGCTGACTGAAGATTGAATTGATGAGGGCATTATCTTGTTACAAAATGGATAGATATATTCCACTAGGTCCAACTGAGATAGACAGGGCTGCAGCTGAAGTAGAACAGTTCATATTGAAGCCACCAAAATTTGTGCAGATAAGAGTCAAAAGTAGACTGTTTAAAAGTCAAGGAGCAATTTGGAAAGAACCACTTTATAATTTGTGGTATGATGAAATCCAGAATATTTTCAATCCACTGAATTAGAAACCAAGGAGAAGACCAGATCTGGATCTGTGAGATGATAGAATCCAGTCCATGTTTTCAAATCACCAAGCCCACCACAGATAAACAGGAAGTGATAACTGCAAGCAGGGTGACTTTAAAATATCCTGAATATTTGTAGAAGAGTGGAGAGATGATAAACCAGAAGGTAT